TAGTGACCACGGAGTGCAGACAAGGCTCTCTCAGTTTGGGGTTTGAGGCTATGCTACAGCAAAGAAACAGGTCATTCACAATCAAGGTCTCAAGGGGAGCTTTTTAAAGGCCCTTTCTTGTTCCAAATCAATCACAATTTCACAGGCAATTCTTCAAACACTGTAGAGAGTGCAATGACCTATTGCCATCTGCAGTCTCAGTTTTACGAGGTCATTTCCAAACTATTGTAGCACAAAATGGCATCTTCAATCTTCTAATGTGACTTACAACTACAGGTGGGTTTTAAAAGGATATTCCTTTAGGCTTTGTTTCCAGGTTAACTGCATACATGAGACAGTTCATTTGGGATTTGTTTAGATTAAAGAAATTCACTGACTTGCCCTGACTGTTCTGAACTGGCCTTGTTTCTGTCTGCACTCATGAATGTCAATGCAGTGAGAAAAAACATTTAACCCTGAGTGTATTATTTCAGAAATCCTATCACTGAATGCTGTTTACATCGGAAAGGCTTTGGTAATATAAAAGTGCAGGGACATGTTCAGCAGGGATAAGAACACAGCACGAGTCATGCTGCCCTATATGCAGGTGGTGACAATCCAATGCATTTCTGGCCTTAATCCTCATTCTATTCATGCTGCACTTTAAGTAACTGAAATGTAAAACATTGTATGTTGCACTTGAGCCCGGCTGGAGTAATATATCCATATTGCAGGCCATGGCATGCTAGCCGCGTCATTATTCTGGAGCAGCGCGGTGGATTAAGACTCGTACGTTTTTTTAAATGATCTTCTCGATCTAAATTCTGAAACATCCCTCATCCTGTGTGTGGCCCATGACACACACAGCCAGCTAAAATCTGACTGTGTTTAAAAGAGAAATGTAACTTTAAATGACATAGTTGTGGTCTCACACGTCAGTCTTTATCGCATAGTCCCATGTAGTGGGAAATGGGAAATAGGAGGTAATGCAGCAGTAAATTGCAGGTTTATATGCTGATTTAAAATAAATTAGGCGCTTTGTTATGCTACTTTTGCATGCAAGTTGGCTCATAAAACAATTACTAAAGAGACAAGTCATGAACAGGAAATCCCTTTTGCACTGCTGATAACTGTTTTACTAAATACAAAATGTTAAGCCTTACAATACATAACGTGCAGTATCTTGATGAGAATGGTGGATGATGTTAATCTACTGCAGCATCACTTAATTTTGAGTTGTTCCTTCTTACACTGCAACATGAAGCAGCTTCTCTAAAAACAGTTACACCTCAGAGGTTAGCTTTGCATTTTCATTATGTTCATTACATTATGTTTTGGGCTTCACTGTGTGATACTATAAATCCCAAGCTGGTTTAAGTATGATTTAAATTGAAAAATACTTATGTGTCTAGTGCAGTAAATTGAACAAAATATTTAAAATACGAGTATGAGGTGAAAGAGTTGAGCAGTTTTTAGTTGAACCAACCAAGCTGAAATACTGTTGACAAAGGAGAAAAGAGATGGGATGCTTTTAAAAGTCTGCCATGATAATATGTTATAGGATTTGTTAAGTCTTTAGATTTATTAGCTGTGAAGCTGGTCTGCTGGTCTTTAATGAACTAGAGGTGATGCATGTCTTCCAAAACAAATCATTCACATGGCATGGTGTCAGATGGTGAAATTCAGGCCATGTCAATTGGGTGAGTTCAATAAAGGTCAAGCTTTTCTCTAAATGAGATTACATCGTGTGTTCTCAAGAAGGTCACTTAGTAGCATTATGCGGTATAAGTAACAGAGAATTGGGCCACATTATGCAACTGTCAGTATTAAGTCATTGTGACCTTGCAATGCTACGATAGAGGTGAATAACTACTAAGTCATCGTTCAAAAAAACTACTATCAATTCAGTGTTGACAATACAATCTGGCTAAAAATCTCACCACTAGGCACTGGAACATATGAAAATGTTATTTCACTATATTTTCCTGGTCAGAATAATTGCAATTTGTAATGTCATGCCAATAGTAGGGCTGTCCCGAATACCATTTTTCGGGCTCTGGATATTCGGTAGTAATCAGCAGCGAATATTCGAATATCCGGTGCGGAGAGATTTTTTTTTTCAAAAAAAAAAGTCATAACACGCTCCGAGACACCTAGGCCGCAAGGTGAACCTCGAAAAGTCCTTTAGAAAAGAAATCCCGCTCCACAGAAGTGGAACTACATAATCTTTAGTTCATAAAAAAGAACGAGTCATGCTTATCCACCAAAGAAAAGTTTGTCGCTAAAATTCCTGTCAATTCTTCTAGGCACGTAATTATTGGCTGAACTAGTCCCTTCAAAGCGTAATAATATCTTGGTCAAAAGTAGTGACACGGTTTGTCACGTGATCGTGCTACACCAATTGGGTAGCTGCATATTGTCAACAGAAGTGAAAGATGGCCGCCTACATGGTTACGCTAAACCAGACCAAATGGATTCTAAACAGTGCTGTATGTTTGTTTTATGTCATGTTTTGTCATATGTCTTAATACATCACTAAGTCCGAGGTATTTGCGTTATATACGCGGTATTTGTGAGAGGTTTTACTATCTGGGAACAGAGTTGACCATCGAATCAACATTGGCTAGCAGCGTTTATCAGCCAACTCCAGCTACAACAACATTCCTGGACTACCATGTTCGCATCGCTAGGTTCATTGGCTGAGCTCGTGGATTATTCCATTAGACTGAGGACTTTTTGTCTGTTGTTATTGTTACCCTGTACACGTTAAATGCACTCTTACAATAAACATGACTTGATTTCATACATAGCTGCGTCCAAGAAGGTTAACTTGTTACGTTAAGTAATTTAGATCAATAAAATGCAGTACTTATACCAATGACCATTGATTCATTTATTTACTCATTCATCATATAATAATTTGATGAATTGCATTATTATTATAGATATATATAGATTATTATATATATATAGATTATTATTATAGATATATATAGATTATTATTATAGATATATATAGATTATTATTATAGATATATATAGATTATTATTATATATATATATATATTATTATTATTATAGATATATATAATATATATATATATTTTATTATTATTATTGTAATATGATAATATTGTATTTGTAACTTCAAAATCAATGCCACCGTTGTAAGCTTGTCCTGTACGTATTCCATCTTGTATTGGTAAAATAATCAACCTTTTCGTGCTTCACAGACGTAATATGCATGTAACAATGTTTGTGTGTTGATAATTTTGACTTTTTGAGACTTTCTGGTGCGTTTTCCTCGTCCCCGCTACTCGATGAAACCATGGCGGTCGCCATTTTTTCCAAATCTGTTTGTTGATACCGGTATATGCAGCTACCCAATTGGTGTAGCACGATCACGTGACGGACCGTGGCACTACTTTTGACCAAGATATTATTACGCTTTGAAGGGACTAGTTCAGCCAATAATTACGTGCCTTGAAGAATTGACAGGAATTTTAGCGACGAACTTTTTTTTGGTGGATAAGCATGACTCGTTCTTTTTTATGAACTAAAGATTGTGTAGTTCCACTTCTGTGGAGCGGGATGAAACGATAACAGGGTTCACCTTATGGCCTAACCTGACAACACGCTGTTAAGCAGAAGCGCAGAAAGAGCATAGGCCTACTATTACGATGTATATGTATTTATTGTCTCAGTACTCGCATACATTAAAACTAAATGTGTCCTCTGCATTTAACCCAGCCGCAGCGCAGCGCCCGGGAACCAAATCCGGTTCCAAATTCCGTCTATAACGTTTTACAACCTGAAGATACAAAACACATATTTCATATTATAACAACAATACTTTTAATAACATAGCCGTAACAGTAGGCCTAACAGGGTAACACTTGTTACCGATACAGTAAACAGTAAACAGTATTTAAATAAATGAAGAACGAAAAAATAAATAAACGAACTGTATGCCAATAATTGCCTTAGCCCCAGATGTTCCCACATTGCTCCTATTATTTTCACTATTTGGATCAAATTGAAAAACGAATACAAAAAACAATTCGGTTGCTTGCTTGTAACTATTTTCCAAGCAAAGTAAGAGCACGATTTTATCATGTGTAACGTTACGGTTTAAACGGCGGATAAAGCAGCTTCATCGTGGCAACTTGACAACAGCTAAGCTAAGCTAGGCTAGTATTTACAGCATCCGGTGACTTTTCAGAGTTGTTGTGCCACCGGCCAGTTTCTTGTCGCATATTTGGCACACTGCCTTCTTCTTACCGTCGTCCAATTTAAAATGGTCCCACACAGCTTAAGTCTTCGGCATTTTGTGTTCAGGTGTGTGAAGCGAGGTGAAGCGAGGTGAAGCGTGCCGTTTGCGTTCGTGACCGTGAATGAACGCGATGTCAGGAGCACAGGCTGAGATTGTATATATTTCCGCATTTTAACAGTGCAATTCAAAAGTATAAATATAGTATAAGAATATGGCAATTCGCCTTTATTGATAGCATACATTTAGGAAAAATAAATAAATAAATTGAAAAAAAATAAAAAAACGAATATCCGAATAATGAAATTGAAACCCGAATAGTTGGCCAACGAACGAATAGTCGAATATTCGGGTACAGCCCTAGCCAATAGTGTATTAAATATACTCAAAGCCTGTTTACATGACTTTCAAACGTTACTTCACATTACATTTTTTTAAGGGAACAATATGTTGATTGCATCAATGATGAGATATTATTTTAGTGAGAATCAACGAAACAATATTAATTAAAGAAAGACTATATTTCAAATAAACATTGTGAGTTTGATTATTCCTGTATTTTTGTTTAAATCAGGCTATTTATTAAACTTTTGACAGCAAGTGCTACAGCTCGTGAGGATATTAGCGATAATCCAAAAAATGAAAATTCACCACTAAATACTTATTTTGTTTTTGTATATTGTAACCTGCGATGAAAGACAAAATAAAGTCACATCCCTTCTCACCACCCCTGTTTTTTCTCTTCCTACAGGTGGCATCTTTGAGACTCTTGAGAATGACCCCGTTAGTGTTGAAGAACTGGCCTTTAAATTTGCGGTCACCAACATAAACAGGAACCGGACCTTAATGCCAAACACCACATTGACCTATGATATCCAGAGAATAAACCTCTATGACAGTTTTGAAGCCTCAAGAAGAGGTAAGGATATTATTTAGCTTTTTCACTTGAAACATCTATATATTGTTATAAATATATTGTTTATGAGTTTCCCTTGTGTTGATCATTTGTTATTTCCTCTCTCCACTTTCGGTTCATTACGTCAGCGTGCGACCAGTTGGCCCTGGGTGTTGGGGCAGTGTTCGGACCCTCTCACAGCTCATCAGTCAGCGCGGTCCAGTCTATATGTAACGCCCTGGAAGTCCCTCACATCCAGACACGCTGGAAACACCCCTCAGTGGACAACAGAGACAGCTTCTACATTAACCTCTATCCTGAATACACCTCTATAAGCCGAGCTGTGCTGGACATAGTGCAGTACTACAAGTGGAAGACGGTCACTGTTGTTTATGAAGATGCAACGGGTGAGTCCAACTCGTAAAGCTTTAAAACAAATCAGAGCTGAATATGTCAACAGTGATTAAAACAGAACAAGCACTAAAATGCTTGTGTCAAATTAGAACATATATTTATATAAAATAATTAAAAAACATGTAAGTGCATTTACATACATATTGGAACATGTTATACGAAAGTTCATCATTTCTATATTTACGTGTTGCGTTTTTAAAAAAAATCATTTTTCTCAAGATTATTGAAAAATATATTTTAAATGACTATGGTGTTGGGAGGATCTGTACTACTCAAAAACATATTTTTAAGTCTAAAGAATATGATGTGTGTACAGTAGGTCAGGACAACATTAAAATGTAATATTTTATTTGAAATGTGTTTTGACACATATGCATTTTTCCTTTAAATATAGTATGCAATGAAGTAATGGAAAATGTTTACAAAGAATAGCAAAAAGTGTAGTTTAAAAAACTACTAATTGTTTAAACCTATGATTTAAATTTGAAAAAGGAGTGTTAAGAGAATCAAGTCGGTAAGCAGGAGTAGTGGAAATAAGTTGCATTTATTATTCAAAAGTTAAAACTGGGAAATTCCATAAAACTAAATTAGACTGGAGCAAAATAACACAAAGCAAATGAAATATGCAACTAGCAGCAAGCTGCCAACTCCTCACAACTGCATTAAAAGGCCATGTTACCATGTCAGACTCACCTGACTGGAACATACCACTTTTATGCACAGGGTGAGCCAAGTCAGACAAACATCCACATCGAACAGAAACATGAATACAGCAATAATAATACATGTCCATGTTATTGCTGTCATCTCAATAGGCACCCACCCATCTTAAATCAGCATACAAAATATAATATAATTTACTACAGAACTATTTTACCTATGTTTCTTATTTATTCACCTTACATATTGAACTGAAATTAATAGTTACTAGACACAACCTCACCTAATGTGTAGGGCCTATTGAAAAAGGGGCTAGCATCCAGTGTCAGGCCAAAATGGCTGCATAGGTACCTGTAATGACAAATCATCCTATATACATTAAACGTATGTTGGGCTGTCACAGTCAAATCAACAAACACTACACCCTGAAACACTACAGGAAACAGACTGTCACCAATGATACAGCAAAATCACAAGATCATGTAAAGAGCAGTTGATGAAAAATAATTTCAAAGGGATAATGATGAATAAGAAATGTTTGGAACTATTTCTAATAAAGCACAGAGTCTGAAACCTGAAGCACACAAGAGACTATTTCTTACCTTTAGTAGATAATTTTCTTCTTCGACTTTGTGTTTGCAACCTCACCAAATCCATGGGCAGCCATGTTCGGGAGCAATATTATTCTCTCAAAATGTGCATGTTTGTACCGCGATACAGCACATTGTAATCCTGTTGTTGAAAATAAATTCCATGTTTTGGTCACAGCGTCAAAACTCCCGCCATGGAGTTCTTCATCGCCAAATTAGCTAGCTTCACTAATGATGCTGATTAGAATCAGGTGCTAGCGATGTTTAGTCTGAAACAGACTACTTCACTCGGTCATTAAAGTCCTGATTGCATTCACGATGTCAATTACACATGATATGAACGCAACCCCCATATTCTCGTGGTTGTTGAAGGAAGTATCCAAACATGCCTGATTACAATTGTATCTTTTATTTTATTTTGAAAACCGGAAATTAGGTTCCGATTACGTTCCCTGCAATTCCTCACTGTGACCAGTGGAAGGCAGTGAACACGTTACATTTTTTGCAAAAGCCATCTTAGATAAGATACACATTCTGTAATAAGTATGGATATCACATTTTCCGAAGAAAACCTAATTACTTGAATAAGGTTATCCTCAAGTTAATGGTTAGAGAAGGTGGAGCTTCTTTGGCTAGTTTAAGGCTAACCAGCGTTTTGTCTGAAATTAGTGTTTAGTGCCCTCTTATGGTCATAGAAACTGCATGTTCAAATTAAGCTGATGATATTAAAGATAGGGTAGGTAATTACATTACATGTCACTTGTTAGACGCTTCCAAAGCGACTTACTCAATACTGTGTGCAATCCCCACAGGAGCAATTTGGGGTGAAGTGTCTTGCCCAGGGACACAACGACATGCTGACTGCAGTGGGGTTTGAACCTGTACAACCCTCTGCACCACACGCCTCCTAATTCACTTCAGAAACACTTTTTGTTATATTCCATGGAATGCTCTTAACATCCCGATAGCAATGAATACATTAAATGCTTTGACAATAAATACATTAAAAAAATTCATTTGTGGAAGCCGTGGCGCTGTAAAAAGCACGACGAATTATTTTATCCGGCCCGGCTAAAATAACTGGATGGCCTACCTGCCTGTCAGCCTTCCATCTCGTGCATAAACTTATCTCGTGCCCTCATTGGTCATGTGCGCGTTCGTGTGTGTTGGAGGAGGGGCTCTGTAAGGAAGTCTGAAGGAAGGGGCATATTTTTATCGGCTGCGTGCTTTCCAATTCTAGCGCACTCGAGCTGGTTTCTCCATTCCTACCTACCCTACCTTTAAGTGTTGTGCTTGTTGTTCGAAACGTAAATCATCTACTTCCTTTAGTGTCTCTTACAGTAATTTGCTGCTAACAATGGAAATACCAACCCAAGAGCGGGAGAGCTTGCTAGTAAACATTAGCAACATTAGCCTATTGCTAGTTTAAATTCAGGCGGGCTGTGGGACTTTATTTTCCATATTCTCGGATAAATAGTTGCTGGCATATCACATCTACATAAAAAATAACACAAATATGATACACTGTTCCCATGCATAAAATAATAATAATAGATTTATTTTGTTAGCGCTTGTACAGGTGCTCAAAGACGCTTTACAGATATCGTGAAAAGAAAAGAAAGGAACAACAAATAATTATATAGTTAAAGTCAAATAATACAAAAACAATCACACATTAAAAGCCAGATTGAAGAGGTGAGTTTTTGTGAGTTTTTTGAAGGTGGTGAGGTCAGTGCAGTCTCTGTTGTGGGAGTGAGTTCCAGAGGGAGGGGGCAGCGACGGAGAAGGCTCTGTCCCCCCAGGTCCGGTGATTGATGTGGGTGGGGATGGATAGGAGGTTGACTTCTGATGAGCGGAGGCAGCGGGAAGGGGTGTGGTGGTGCAGCAGGTCTGTGAGGTAGGGGGGGGGGAGGGGGTGATTGTTGAGGGCTTTGTGAGTAACGAGGAGGACTTTGAAGTTGATTCTTTGACGGACAGGGAGCAAGTGGAGGTTCTGGAGGACGGGAGTGATGTGGTCTCAGGAGCGGGTGTGGGTGAGGAGGCGGGCAGCAGAGTTCTGGATATGTTGGAGTTTATTGAGGAGGTTGGATGGTATGCCGGCGTAGAGGATGCTATTAGTCGAGTTGTGATGTGATGAATGCATGAATCAGGGTTTCAGCAGCAGAGGAGGAGAGTGATGGACGGAGACGGACAATGTTTTTGAGGTGGAAAAAGGCGGTCCTGGTGATGTGATTGATGTGGTGGTTGAATTTGAGCTGACTGTCGAAGATGACTCCGAGTTTGCGGATGTGAGGGGGGGGATAGAGTGTGGCTGTCAATGGTGAAGTTGAAATTCTGGATGGCTTTGGTACGGGATGGGGGGCCGATGATGATGATGTCTGATTTGGCACTGTTCAGTTGGAGATAGTTTGTTTGCATCCATGCTTTTATTTCTGAGAGACAGTTGGTGAGAGTGGAGTGTGTTGTGGGGGTGATGGTTTTTGTTGAGATATATAGTTGGATGTCATCGGCGTAGCAGTGAAATTGAAGGTTGTGGCGACTAATTATTTTGCCAAGGGGGAGCATGTAGAGGATGAAGAGGAGGGGGCCAAGCACCGAACCCTGGGGGACGCCTTGAGACTGAGGAGCAGTGGAGGAGGTGCAGTTGTTGATGTTGATAAACTGATGTCTGTCGGTGAGGTAGGATTTCAGCCAGGAGAGTGCAGTGTCGGTGATGTTGAGTGATGATTCGAGGAGGGACAGCAGGATGGCGTGGTTGATGGTGTCGAATGCAGTGAGGTCGAGGAGGATGAGGATGTTCAGGTTGCCGGAGTCAGAGGAGAGGAGTAGGTCGTTTGTGATTTTCAGAAGAGTTGTTTCGGTGCTGTGTTTTGATCAGAAACCGGATTGAAATGGCTCAAAGAGGTCATTGAAGCTGAGGTGGGATTTAAGTTGTGAGGCAATGACACGTTCAAGTATTTTTGACAGAAAGGGGAGATTTTAGATGGGCCGGAAGTTGGACATGATGTCAGGTGTGAGTCCAGGTCTTTTGAGAATGGGTGTGACAGCAGCCAGTTTGAGAGAGGGGGGAACTGATCCAGATCTGAGGAAGGAGTTAATGATGGTGGCGATGAGTTGGGAGATGGCAGGGAGGCTCTCTTTAACACATTTGGAGGGCATTGGGTCAAGTGTGCAGGTGGAGTTAATTCCAGTCATGAAGTCGGACAGTTGCATGGGGGTCACAGGGGAGAAGTGGGACAAGGGCTTAGAGGTGAAGGGGGAGGGGAGCCAGGAGGGGAGGTGGGGGGTGCTGATGAAGGTGTCAGATTGCTGTAAATGTTGCTGATTTTGGTTTGGAAAAACGAGAGGAAGGAGTTGCATTGTTCGGTGGTGAAGGATGAGGTGGCGTTGTCACAGGGTTTGAGAAGTTTGAAGATGGTGGAGAACAGACGCTTGGGGTTGCTGGAGCCAGACTGAATGAGTTGTGTGTAGTAATTAGACCGGGCTGCTTTGAGTGCATTACTGTACTGCTGGAGATAGTCTTTGTAGATTTGAAGATGGACTGTTAGTGTGGTTTTCTTGTGTTGGCGTTCAAGTTGACGTTTCCTTGATTTCATTTGGCGGAGTTCAGGGGTATACCAGGGGGCGGAGTGTATGATAGAGACTTTTTTTTTGTTGTGGGGGCCAGTTCATTGAGACAGAAGGAGAGGGTGCTGTTATAATGGTCCACAAGTTCAGATGGGTTTTCAGAAAGTGGGGGGGGG